GCTGTGCCCCTGCTGCAGAGGAAGGCAAAACCTCCCAGTGTGAGCAGGGGGCAAATCCCTTCCTGCCCCAGTGCAGCGTGGGGCTGAGCCTGAGCGCAGGGGCAAGACCCTCCAGCCAGGACCCTGCGGGGTGGGTGCCAGCAGGAACATCGGCACAGCCTGGCCCCAGCCCCAGCAACTCTGGGGGACCCCCCCCACAATATATGTCAGCATCCTCCCCACCCCCCAAGCCCCGCTCCCCACATACAGATGTCAAAGGCAAGGGCTGCTCCAGTTCACCTGAAGACTTCTGCGTGGCGCACGGCAGAGGCTTTGCTGTGCAAATTGGTCGCTCTCAGGGCACACGTGTGTAGCAGTGGCTGTCACCAGTGGTGGGGCACGGCCTGGCCGTGTGCACGTGTTGGTGTCAGAAGCAGCGGGAACACGGGCACTTGCCGGCAGAGGCCTTTCACCCCAGCTGCTTGGGGTCCTGTTGGGAGGGTGCCAATTGCCCTTCCAGCAGGGGAAGACAGGCAGCGGCCTTCGTCCTTGCCCCCAGGGTTACTGAGGAAGCGGCAGGGTCTCACCAGGGACCAGGCCGGGGGCTGGAGGAGCTGCACTACGAGGTGCAGCAGGTGGGGCTGGCAGGGCAAGGAGAGGAGATACAGCCCAGCCCGCAAGCTGCATGGGGCAGGTCCAAGGGGGTCTGTGTTCGTGTACGGGGGCAACATCCAGCCCCGGCTGCTCGACTCACCCGTGCCGGCGCTCCAGGCACACGTGGCTCCCGTGATTGGACACGGGGTGGCTCCAGTGGCCCTGACCTTGCCCAGAGCCCACCACGGCTGCAAGGCTGCTTGTCCAGTCGTGCAACACGGGCAGGAGCACGCACCCATCCCGCTGCTGGGCCCATCACACAGGGCTTCACGTCAACCTCTGCCCCGGCCGTGACCTAATCTAGCCCCAGAGCGGAGCCGTGCCCAGGAGCTCTCTGCTGTCGCGCTTGACGGAGGACGAGGAGGGTGCTTGGGGGGCAGAGCCCGTCCCCCCGCTGCTCTCCTCGGCTCAGGGTTTCCCTGCGGGACAGCGGACGAGCACCAAGATCCCAGGAAGAACGTGGGCCGGAGCCGGCGAGCAAGGGTGCCTGGCCCTGCCCGTGCCCACGGCTGCAATCGGCCCCTGGGCGCCACTGGCGGGAGACGGCGGCAGCCCGTGCGTCATATTAATTTTTTATTAAACCCCATCAGTCTCTGTGCGGACAGACGCCCTCCCCTGTGGGTACGACACGACACGGCCGCTGCGGCTCCCCCACACTGTACAGAAACTCCGATCATCTACAACTGCTCCGGGGAGTTACAAAAAAGACCCCGCGTCCCGCGACACCAGGCGGGCAGGTTCAGGCGCACGGGGACGCGCCGCCCGTGCCCGCCCCAGCACACCGAGGGAGCCCGGCTGGGGCTGCGGGCGGGCGGGGGGGAGTGCCGTAGCTCGTGTCTGTACCTGGAGCCTGTCCCCTTTGCAATAAGTTACAGCAAAAAGCAGGGCAGGGCGGGGGCTGCGGGGCAGGAGCCAGGGGCACAGCAGCCGGGAGCTCCCCTTGCCCCTGGGGGCAGTTCGGGGCCCGGGGGAAGAGGCCAAGCAGCTCAACGTCGTGCCCCCACACATGGCTCAAGAGCCCAAGCCAGGTCCTGCCCTGCCCCGGCTGCCCCCCCTTCCGGGCACGGACCCCGGGGAGCCTAGGCTGTCGGGGAGGGCATCAAGCCCCCGCCCCTGTGGCCTTCAGCCACCCGCCCCTGCTGGGGACAAAGCCCCGTGTCCAAGTTGTGCTACCTGGCTTCCCCCGGCACTGGGGGGCCGTGGGGGTCCTAGCCGGAGCAGGCGGGATGGTCCCAGGGCACCGGTGGGTGCGGAGGGAGCAGGCTTGGTGCCCCCCCCTCCAGGAGAATCTCTGCCAGCTCCTGCTCTTCTCTAGCGGCCCGGGAAGGGGATGTGAGTGGGGGTGGGGATGGGGGTGGGGGGCTCAGCCTGCCCTGTGGGCTCCCAGCCGGGGAGGGGTGCCCGGCCGCGGGACACCATGCTGGACACAGACAGGGCCCAGCCCGGCGCGGCCAGCGCCGCCTCCGCGAGCCAGGTCCTAGCGCAGTGTAACAGACCGATGCTGCCGGGCCCCTGCTGCCGTCCGCGGCCGTGCCCGGGGCCCAAGGCTTTCCAGTACGAGGTGCCTTTGCCGGGGGGGAGGAAGGCCGCCAGCGCTGCCTCCTCCTCCTCCTCCTCTCCAGTGCGTCACGGCCCCGGCCTGGGCACGCAGCAGGGCCCGGGGGCTGCGGCAGTGCCAGGCTCACGCGTCCGAGAGGCAGCTCTGGATGCGGTCGATCCACTGCTGGGCCAGCGGCGCGTCCTGGGCGCAGAAGTTGTAAACACGTTTCGTCGTCTTCAGCTGCGGGGACGGAGGGAGGTGGCTGCTGAGGCCGGGAGCTGCCCGTGCCCACCCCAGCCCTGGCCCCGCACCCCGGGCCCGGCGAGGGCCGACACTCACATCGAAGAAAGCCTTCTCCTCCACCGTCTTGGGGGCCCCCATGGTGGGGGTGCCCGGCGTGATGGACTCCACCTCGGCCAGGTCGATGACGCCTTTGCACTCCGTGTCCGACCGGTTGTCGTAGTACCGCAGCTGCGGGGCGGAGGGCACGTGTCAGGCCCTGCCTGGCTTCTGTCCAACAGGACGGAGCGAGACCGCTCGGCACGGGCACGCGCCTTCCCTCCCGCTGGATGGGAAGCCCCTTCCCACCTCCTCTCTCCAGCCCTCGGGGACCCCGCTCCCAACGCGACAGCGCCGTGGCGCACTGGTGAGGAAGACCGTTCCCCGTCAACGAACACCCCGAATCGTCAGACGCTCCGAACGCAGAGCACGAGCCCGGCTCCAGGGAGCCCATACCTGATGCTTGGTCTTATCCAGCACGAACCAGCGGGGCTTCCAGGGCTTCATGAAGGCGCCTTTCTTGTAGAGCGACCCCTCGTAGGACCTGCGGGTGAGGACGGGCGGCGGGTCAGGGTCTCCGCTGCGGGCCGCGGCCCCCGCCCGCCCCTCCCCGGCCCCCCGCTTGCCTGTTCTCGCTCTCCGACATCTGGAACTGGTTGTAGAGGGTGCTGGTGCTGCGGCGCCCGCCCTGCTTCCCGCTGGATGGGGTGGAGGTGCTGCTGGTGTCGCTGTCCAGGCTGAGGTTGAGGGTGGAGCCCGCGCCGGGCTCCTGCAGGTAGACGCCGAGCGACCGCCGCTGGTGCGACAGGCTGGACGACATCAGGAGCGAGCTGGAGGCCATCTGTGGGGGGAGAGCGTGAGAATGGGAGAACTGCCGTGGACCGGGTCAATCCCGGGTCCGTGCTGCCCAGGCTCCGGTGTCCAGAGAGCGATGGGGTCCGAGCAGGGTTTTCCCTGCTCCTCTCTCCCTTGCAGCCTTTAAGGTCCAGGCCGGTCTGATGCAGAGGCCGTGCCACTCGCTCCCTGCCCCTTTCCTCCAAGCCCGTGTCCAGCCCGGGATGGATCTGGCCAAGCTCTCAGCTCCCACCGCGGCTGGTGGACACGAGCCCCCCCGCTTTAATGCCACGCTGAGAAAATTTCCTTAATTTTAAGCTTGCTACCTTCTAGTTGCATGCTGTGACCCCTTGTCCTAGTCTGGGGAGAGAGGAGCAATGATCGATCCCCAGAGACTTTCTCTTGGCCATTTCGTGTGCTGTGACCCCGTCTCCCGCCCCCTCCAGTGTCTGCCTGGCCTCGTGAGCCTCTCCTAGGGAAGCCCCTCCGCAGCGCTCCTCATCCTCGCCGCCCGTCTCTGTGCCTGCTCCAGCTCTTCTCTCTCCTCCTGGGGGTGCATGGACCAGCCCCGGGTGCAGCATTCACGGTGTGGCCGCACCAGGGACGTATAAAAGGGGCATCGTGATCCTTTCCATCTTGTTCGGTTCCCTCCCTAATCGCCCCTGCCGCGCTGTTTGCCTGCCCGCCGGCTGCTGAGCGTGGGGCTGGGGTTTTTAGCGACCTGTCCACGAGGACTCCCAGGTCTCCGTCCCACGTGGTCCTGGCTCAAGCAGAGCCTGGCGCAGCGTGGGTCAGTTCAGGGATCGTTGCCCGCGTGCTTCATTTCACCCCAATCTCCACTGAACTGCGCCGGCCGAGCTGCCCGCTCGCTCCGTGGTGCCAGATCCTCCTGCAGCT